AACGGATCGAAGGATGCGTTCCGACGTTTCCCCGGACATTACGACGAAGTTGAGGCTCCAACCCGCGCTCATGCGCAATGAGCGCGGGTTGGAGCCTCAACCGTCGTAATCGTTAGTCATTAGGTTCGTTTATGATGTCGTTGAGTCTAAAGCATGACCGATGTGAGCGTGTGCAGAGGAAGACGCAGGAGATCGTAGAATCAAAAATGAATCGATAGCGTTAAGACTACTACGCTATCACTAAGCTACGCGCAACCAACCATTGATGTATCATCGGGAGAACACCTTGGTTGCGCAAGAGGACATGTTGGTATGCGAAAGGACACCTTGGACTGAAGAGGTGTCGACTAGTCATCCGGTTACTAACAGGATGATGGGCATAGTTACACCCTCCCCTACTTAAGATAGAACGTGCCATCATGTGGTCAGAAATGAGAGGGAACTGTGACGTGACAGTTGAGATTGGAGATGGCAGACCAAGGCAAGAAGCGCAAGGCGAGCAAAATCGCCGAGGATGCCGACGACAGCGTGGAAGAGGCCGAAGCGCCGGCGCAGCAAGTGGAGGTAGTGGACCTCATAGCCGAGTCGGATGACGACGGCGGAGTGGCGCCGAGCGAGGACACGGCCGAAGTGACGCAGCGCAAGGCCGACTGGGAGGCCAAGGCGGCCGTGAAGCGCGAACGGGTTGGACAGCTGGAGCAGCAAGCGGCTGCAGACTTGGTAAAAAGCGCCATGTAGACTGGGGGCGACGAAGGTGTGCAAAAGCTGCTGGAGCAGCACTTGGCACGGGAGGAGGCCGTCAAGAAGGCAAAAGCAGCCGAGGAGGTGAAGGCGAAGACAAAGCGCGCCAAAGAGGCCAAAGCGATCGCAGCGGCTGCTGCGAAAGCGGCTGACGAAACAGCCAAGGAGGCTGCAGAAGCAGCGAGTAAGGCGGCCAGCGAAGGTGTGACTGGGACACCATCAGGTGATGGGGGACATCCCAACGCTACAGGCACCGGGGAAAGGAAGCAAAGGCGAGCGGCAAGGGAGCCACCGTAAAGACGGCGTCCATAGTGAAAGCCGAACTTGGTGGGTCGGAGCGGACCGGCCTCGCGCGAGACGAAGTGTTCAAGCGAGAGTTGGCGTTCCACTGGGATCGCTCTCGGATCTTCTCGCCTGCAGGTTGGGGTGGCGTGGACTTGGGGTATGTGCGCGACGTTACGCGCCGTTTGACGGTGGTGGGCGAGTTCGACGAAACTTACGACGACTAGGGGTACCAGACGGCCAATGCTACCGGCGTGGAGCGGTATCTGCGCTTGTTTGCAAGCGCCCAATGGTTTGAGTTGCATGTGTTGTGGATGCTGCTGGCCGTGGAATCCGTGCAGCTTGCGAGGGTGAGTTTTCACAGGTTCGATGAGTTCAAGGGCGCCATGCACGAGTTGCATGAACGGGAGCGCCTGGAGCGCTGGACTGTGGACGTGGGGCGGATCGAGCTTTGCAATGATGAAACATTGCTAGAGTACTTTGTTGCGTTTGTGTTGACGCTGGTCGGACAAGGCAGCGGGCGGCATGGGCAGTTGCCTCTCACAGCGGGGCGGTTAGCCAACTCGATGTCTAATTTCGCCGGGGTGCGGCGACATAAGCACGGGCGTTTGTACGCACGGTCTGTCGCGCGGATGGCCGCCCACATAAATATGCGGCACGGACCTGAGGTAAGTGTTGTTTGACATAATCCTCTGAATGCCAAGTTGTAGTTGTCCGACTCGCACACGCTGACGGCGATTTCGTCGACGTGAGCGCGCGAAGATGCGCAGGTGCGAGCAACGTCGGCGCAGGTGGCAGCGCGATTGTCGGTGGCGCGGCCGATGAATCCGTTCGCGGAGTACAATCCGCCGTCGGGACGTCAACAGGGCGGTCAGTTGACAGCGGTCAAGTGGCAAGCAGCCGCAGATTATCGGGCGGGGGCGCGTGCGATTGCGGCGCCGCAACAATGTGGTGCCGATGTCGAGGACGGCGACGGCTGGGGTGTCGGGGGAGGAGAAGAAGTCGGTGACGGCGGAATAGGAAGAGCCGCTGCGGGATCCAGAGGATCGGTTGCCGTCACTTCATCGATCGTAGATGTAGATAATGGGGGTAAACAACGTTTGAGTTTACCCACATAACATGTTGGATGGATCTGCCATGTGTTGGGCCGATCGAGCTTCTAGTTGGTTGTGCTGACCACGCGGAGAACAGTAAAGGGGCTGTGACAAGCACTGCGTAGCTTGATGTTGGAAGACATTCCAACCGCACGGGTGCGGAATGCATACCGCCGACTTGTGGAGGTGAACTTGTTCGCCAACGGCGAAAGACGCGAGGTTAGAGCGGTCATGTTTGTTGGCTTGAGTTGATTGGCGCTGCTGAGCGTCAGCGATGCTGTCATGGATCTGTTGCATGACAGAGATGCGACGGGAGACGAAGCTCTGAATGGTTTGGAGAGGTGCTGCGGGGGGCATTGGGGGGTACGCCTGCAGAAGGGAGCCGCGCAGTGTTTCCGCCCCCACTTGAGATCGAACCGTCCAGCATTGGAGGGAGGCGGGGGTGTTGGAGATGGACCGCATAATGCGGCGAAAAGCCAGTGGACGCCTGAACCGAGGCGTTGTAAGCGAAAACCGCATGCTGTAACGTGACAGCCCACGAGGAACCGGTAGAAACGGAGTAACTCCGAAGGATATCTTCGAGGACGCGGTTGGCGCGTTCCGTTTGGCCGTCGGAGTCGAGGTGGTCTGAAGTCGACCCATCGAGTGAGGTGTCGCATAGGGCGAATAGGGTGGACCAAAACTTCGCCGTGAACCGCGGGTCACGGTCCGAAACGATGGAGCGAGGCAGGCCAAAGCGACAGAAAACGTGGTCGAAAAATATGCGAGCGGCGTCCGCGCCGCTCAGCGTGTCCCGGACGGGGACGGCAATAACGTACTTCGACACGCGGTCGCCACAAATCATAATGCCGGTATTGCCGCGGGCGTCGCGCGGCAGGCCAAACATGAAATCCATGCTGACGGACGACCAAATTCGTCGGGAATAGGTAGAGGATGGAGAGGTGCCCGAAAGGAGGCGGTGATCTTAGTGCGATGGAAGACGTCGCAGTGAGCGACGTAGCGCACAGCTCATTTATACATTCGGGGCCACCAGTACGAACGCGCCAGGACCGCGTGCATTTTGTCGCCGCTACTGGGGGGGTCATGGTAGGATCGAAGGAGAGTGAGGCGCAGCTGTGCGTCACCGGGCACAACAATGCGCGGGGTGAGTCCTCGGTGTGTTGGAACATCAAAAGCCCATCGGCGAGGGCGGAGCGATGTAAGGCTGACGAAGCGCGGCGGGGTCTGGGGGAAACGGGGTCGGTGAGTGCCGCCAGGAGCGACGAGCAGTCAGCGTCAAAGGGGTACGCCGCACGAATACGATCGTGAAGACCCGACGTCAAAAGACTGATCGTGGTCAGCTCGAGATCCGGACGCCGCGACAGGGCGTCGGCCAGGATGTTATCCTTCCCTGGCTAGTACTGAACCGAAAAGATGAATTCGGCGAAGAATGAAATCCAGCGCGACATGCGCTGCGAAAGGTGTGGTGTGTTCGTTGCCGTGCGTAAGGACGCATGATCAGTGTAAACCACGAAGGGTTTAACACCGAGGAGGTAGATGCGAAAATTGGTTAGGGCTTACTTCATGGAGAGATTTGTTATTGTTATTTGTTATTACGCTGTAAAGTTAAAATCGCTCAGCGGGCACTTAATGGCCTCGGCCGCGTACTAGCTGCTTTGGCAGCTAGCGGACTTAACTACTTGAAAACCTGAGTGTGTCTGCTCGAGGGAGCAGAAGCCTTATTCCGCTGGGGGAGGTAATCCGGGGTCCGGGGGGAGTCGCGGTGGCCGTAGGGTCGGGTAGGCGTAGCCTATGGGAGGAGGGATGGCGGGTTGTAGTAAGGAGATTCTACGGGAGTGCCATTGCAGCGTCTTGGCTGTGAGGTGGGCTCTGCGGGCACGGATACGTCGGTCGTGGCCCATGGGGGCGGCATCGTGGTAGCGGCGTTTAAG